GAGCTAACTGCCTGTTTAGGAACCGAGTTCTAAATAATTTTACAGAGATGGGCTTTCATCTGCTCTCCATATGTAAAATGGCAGTACTGTTTCATCTTACATGGCTGCTGTGGCATAAATGAGAGAAAAAAAAATTCACGATACTACATCCATTTGTAAGGTTCTTATGTAAGTGCCCCATTCCCAGAAATGAGGACTTACGTATCAAATAGAAAATATGGATATATCAATTCCATGCAAATTTCCTACTGAATTTTACACAAGCAATCCATCCCAGGTCCTGCACTTGGGTCACAACAACCCCATGCAAGGCTACAGGCTTGGGGAGGAGTGGCTGGAGAGCTGCCTGGTGGAAAAGGACCTGGGGGTGTTGGTTGACAGCTGCCTGAACATGAGCCAGCAGGACCAGGGAGGTGATAGTGCCCCTGTACTTGGCACTGGTGAGGCTGCACCTTGAGTACTGTGTTCAGTTTTGGGCCCCTCACTACAAGGACATGGAGGTGCTGGAGCGTGTCCAAAGAAAGGCAACGAAGCTGGTGAAGGGTCTGGAGCACAAGTCTTATGAGGAGTGGCTGAGGGAGCTGGGGCTGTTTAGTCTGGAGAAAAGGAGGCTGAGGGGAGACCTGATTGCTCTCTACAATTACCTGAAAGGAGGTTGGAGTGAGGTGGGGGTTGGTCTCTTCTGCCAAGTAACAAGTGATAGGACAAGAGGAAATGGGCTCAAGTTGTGCCAGGGGAGATTTAGATTAGATATTAGGAAGAATTTCTTCACAGAGAGAGTGGTTAGGCATTGGAACAGACTGCCCAGGGAAGTGGTGCAATCTCAGTCCCTGGAAGCGTTCAAAAAACGTGTGGGTGTGGTGCTTAGGGACATGCTTTAGAGGTGGACCAGGCAGTGAGGTTAACAGTTGGACCCGATGATCTCAGAGATCCTTTCCAACCTTAATGATTCTATGATCCAAAACATAATCCCTAGTGTAATATCCAGAACACTAATAAAGATACTGAGAACACTGTGAAGATCAACTTAAGATTCAAAAATGCCTGGAAGTTTAAATGTGGCATGACACCTCATACTACAAAATTATATCAAAGTTGAGCTGTTGTATTATCTGAATTTACAAAGGATACAGCTAAACAATAACTACTTACTTCAAAAGACTACCAGTCATTTTAAGGGCATGCAGATTCTGGCATTTTTTAAGTAGCGTAGTTGAGCATCCAGCCTTATCTCCAGAAGGTATGAAATGTACCTGGGTTTTCTTTAGTGAAAGAACAGAAATTCCACCTTGTAAAACTACAAGTTTGGTTATGTGCAGCATTCAAATGGTATATGCCTTCACTATCAGAGCTAAACCAGTTACTGACAGAACTAATACACACCAGGTACCATAGGGAATAAGAAACATTTCACCAGTAGGTCTCAAAGCTATTTACTGGCAGCAGAAAATACAGTGCCTCGAGGCAAAATGTGATTTATTTTTTTAGGGAGGAAAAAAAAAGCCCAAGATTTTAATGTTAATACAAATCCCTCTGTTCTGATGGCCTACCCACCCTTCAAGCCATCTGTTGCATGGCTACATCTGATCTGACTTCTCCTGTTAACTAACCACCTAACCTTCCATTACTTGTCCCTCTCTCTTTCGGTCCTCACAGTTCTGCTTCCTTCTCTTTTTACTCAGTTCCTTCTGGATGTTTTTTTTCCTTCTCCTGCTCATCGTTTGCGTGCAACTCAGAAAGGAAAGGAGTTTCCCTACTTTCTGCCCCTTTCCCACAGCCCTACAACCATGAGGAGTAACTGCAAGGAAGTCCTGCTTCATCTCTGTAGCCTGGAATAGATCATGCTCAATACAAACGGGATTTTAAGAAGATGTATTTAATAAAAATTCCAGCAGTCTCTACTGAGAACATGAAGCAAAGATTTTCAAATGCCTGTAACTTAGCCAGCTTGGGTGTTTTTCTCATAGTATAATAAAAGCTGCATTCTACCAAGAGCTCTTTTCCTGTTGGTATGCAAGGCTTTCCTCCAAAGCAGAGCAGGATGAGGATTTCTCAATGAAATACATTAACAGCAAAAACAAACAAAAAAGTCCTTTCTACCAACCCTACTAAAAAAACAATGTTATTTTGTTCTGAGAAACAGACTAAGCATTTTATCTGAAGATCCACAAACAACTCAGCCACTGTTTGGCACCAGTATAAAGATTTTCAATTGGATACTACATTAAATTTCAATTAATAAAAAAGTCCCTACAATGGAAAACGTTATGCAGCCTTAATAACAGAGTAATATGCCAGCTACAGCTCTAATAAGCCTTCATTTCAACCAAAATGGAGAAGAATGGAAAACGTTCCCATTCTTATCCTATTAAAACGCACACAAGTTGTGCTTTTCACAAGAGTCACATTTCATTCATTACTGTTAAACTCTTTAGAGAAGGGACAGACTCTTACTCAATACCTACATGCTTTGAAAAAGGAAACACGATCTCTGAAGTGACAATATTAACATTGCTCCATTGTCAAATGAGTCACCTTTTTCAGCAAGTAAGCTCATAGTGAGATAAAACACTGAGAGATGTTCACCTTTTAAAAACAAGGAGTACTTTGAATTCCAGCCTAAAAAATGCAATAAAATAATTACTGTTATCTTAGTTTCAGAGTTTTGCATGCAAAAAAACCTCATCCAAAAGTGCAAATGTCCATTACATGATTTGAGTTCAAAGTTCACTTTTCATAATGGAAAAGTCTGCTAGATGTCTAAAATAAAGAATTTTTTGAAAAAGCTTTTTTCATGCTTCTATTTGAAACTGTCAGTTGATGCAAAGTACGATTTTTACATGATTCGTGTGAACAAATGTCTCTGTTTCACTTACAGCACTTGCCAAAACATTTAATGTATATAAGCAACTCCATGTGTCAGCAAACCAGAAGAAATTGCTATAAGGTAAGGGAAGTGCCAAGACAAACTCAGCAACAGTTTCTTTTTTAAAATCTTGAAATATTTATTTTCCTACAGCAGCCACATGTGTGCATGGAAATAATTAACAGGTAAAAGACACAAAGAAATCTGCACACGACAATTTATCAGAACTTTCTATTTAACTTTCACTCTTCACATGCAAGGCTTAGCCAACCTATTCTATACTTATATAGCGAGGAACCTCTGGTTTGCATTTAACACTCCACTTCTGTTCTCAGATCTTAAGAAATCCAATAGATCATGCAGCTGTTCTAATATTTACATCTTATGCTTCTAAATATTACCATTTTATGGATCTGTATGATTTTGTTAAGGAGGAAATCCAAATTAGGTAATAGTCATGCATATTACTTATTTAAATATATCATTTTGTTTTATAAATCTGTCCAACAAACCACTCAGATGAAGTTAGCCATGTTGAGACAGCTGAAGAGTAGAACTGCCAAAAATGCACACTTCAAAGATCTTTGGTCCACAGAAGTCATTGTAATATGGTGCACCATTTTTCACTGGCTTCAGCAAAAGGTCATAAAATGGGCACCTAGCTGACCTATTCTTGTGCCTTCACTGCAGATGGGTTCCATCTTGTTTTAACGTGACTCTGAAGACTTAGTGCCTCTCAAACTCCTTGGGCCATACACTGATAAAATCCACCAACATTTACTGCAGACAGCTATGCACCTTGTGCTCAAACTTCTACTCAAAAACACTACAGACTTTCAAAGGACAACTGCAGATCACCTACATTTGTCTTGCAGAACGCAGTTCAAGTAGTACTGCTCTAGGGAGGGTGAAAAATAAAGAGTGAAGAATTGAAATAGTTCTTTTTACCCTTGCACAAAAAATAGTTCTATCACTGCTAAAAGACACAGACTTTAACCTACCACTGTCATCTGAGTGCTTAACTTGGTATTAACATTTTCAGATGTGTTGCCTTGAAAATAATTTTCTGGTGTGGTGGGTTTGGGTGGTTTTTGGCTGTTGTTGTTTTATTTTTTTCTTAATTTGTTTTGTGGTTTTTTTTAATGGTTTACTTAGTTTAAGTGATGGCACTTCATCTCTATCCAGCTCTGGCATATCCTAGTTAACCCGTTATCTGTGTTTCTGTGGGTTTTCCCCTCCTGAATAGCAGACCACATCAAATAAGCTGACTTAAAAAAGGCAGAGGTTCAAAACGCACCAAGGAAGGTTTACATGAGACTGCCAAAACATCGGCACTAGCCCAAATATTACATTTACATAGCAGTTCACCCAATAAAGAGAACCAGTTCCTCGAAACCAAGTAACACAGACAAACATATACCCTCAAACGGACAATGATTAATAATAATTAACTGTGCAACATGTGATAGAAAAATTTGAAACTCTACAGTTTCTGCATATTCCTCGTTTTATCCTTGTGGAAAAAAAAAAGTATGAAAATATATTGCTACAAGTTTCCCTAGACTTTCATTTTGGCATCTAATAGCTCAAGGTGGCTTACACAACCAGTATTCAAAAAATGCAAAAGTACAGACTGTCTCAGATTTTGTTTTACACAATTGGCAAGCTTTATAGCTTTTTCTTTCAAAAGCTAGTAAAGTGTCCCAGACAATAAATCAAAATAACTGCTATTCAAGCACTACCTGAGTGTATTCATACTTAATCTTTAAGTAAGATTAACCATAAGGAAAACAAGACACATAGCAGACTATACTGGTCCTTTAGATACTAAATATTCAGGGAAAATGTAAAAGCTGAATGGCTCAATCTAAACCCTACTAAAACTGCTGGAAAGGTTGCTAGTTATAATCCTGTCTTCTAAATTCAGTGTTTAAGCAGGTATTACATCATGCCTTCTCATCATGAAACAAATCTCATTTGTTCTAATGAAGGTAACATAGGTTATTATACTAGGAAACTAAAGGAAACAAATGCAGTAATACAGACACACGTTTTTCCACAGTGAAACCCACAAAATGTAATCACGATTTCAAACAACAAACCACTGCAGTTCAGAAAAATCTTTTAAACTTACTGTGTTAGTTGAATCTTCTTGTAAAATTCTATCATATAACTGGATAGCATCATCATACCTGTTGAAAGCAATCATTCACATTTATTTCTGCTAAGACAGAACTCCTCACTTTTTGACTGTCCTTGCAATAGTTACTAACCCTCCTGCACTTTTTATACTGAATATATTTAAGCAAATTACATTCATAGAAAATTCTCTTGAGTGAGTGCTAAATATGAACAGCAGTATTTTATGTCACCAAGTTAAAAAAATACATGGTAATTGGTTCATCGAATACTGTTTCAGCAGCAACTTATATATTTTACACCCAATTTCTTACTCTCGTCTGTTCTTTCCTTTTCTGTACTCAATAGGTCCAATCATCACCTCCCAACTCTCCCTTTCACCTCTCCCAAGAAACAGAAACCCCCAAATTTGAAAGACCATCCAAAATTATGACTTTTCACTTCATTGTTGTAATTTAAAACTTCATGTAAGTTTCTTCTGTTATGATCTTATAAAGTGTAAGCAGCCACATACAATAAACTGGGGGAATTCACACAAGAGTCCACCCCTAGACAATACCATAAATCTTGAAAGAAAATGTTTCCCACCATCACTACATAGGTTTTATTAATTAATTCTGCTATTTGAAGTATACTCAGAACAGGTTACTCCAGCTTCTATTAATGCTTTAAACCTTCTGCGAAACAGCTCCATGTGTTCAGCCAGCTGCGTACATGACCCAAACCGGACAAATGAAAGAATTCAATTCAAAACACATTTGACTACACAGCGGTTGTGCTATCACCACATAACTAGGGCATACCTTGTGTCTTCATGTATAGCTTTGACAAGTAGTTTTCCAGAGGTACTGCTGATTGATTTTGATGCTACACATCCCCTTCTCACCCTGGACACCCATTTATGTACTCTCACTGCTCCCTAAACACTGCTGACATTAGCATAGCTCAGCTGTCCAGTTCAGTTACCATAAGGTATGAGAACAAATGCAAAAGGAAGCACAAAAGCAGAAATGAGCAGAAGGTGACTGCTACAGACTTGAGCAGACGTGCTGTAAAACACTGTATTCATGTTCTCTGTTAGTTGCTACTTTCTCAAATGTATTTTACAAGACTGAACATGATGGCCCAGCTTTACAGGGTGAAGTTCCAGAGTACTCTTCTTTTGATTAGCAAGTGCCTACAGGGATGACTCAGTCTACAGGAATGTTCTTCACTGTTTCCTCTTCCTGCTGGGGAAGGCTGGATCCTTCCTAGATCCTAGCAGTCACTTAGAATTTAACAAGAAGCTCACTTCTTCAACTAACAATGTGATCCCTCCAGCCTAAGTCTCCCTAGGCTTCATTTACAGTCAGTGGAGAGAGACAGGCTTCTCCAGGGCATGGCTTAGAGCACCTGCAGATGGGTTCCTGTTCAAGACAACCCAGAGCTGAGGCCTCTTTCTTCTCTGACTTCTGGAGAAAATCTATGAAGATGAAACCTCAGCTTTCATGGATGCCTCTGCTCCCCTGATATTCCAATCTCAAAGATCTAACCTGATAGAGAAATTTTGTCAAGAACTTGTATGAGCACTTTCAGAAAACTGTGGCTCAATAGCACTTCATTGCTGAAACAACACATAATGTTTGTGCAGCAGTTATCTCCCACAAAGATCTGCTCCCATGCAATAACGTCTTCAATGTAGTCACATAAGCCTGAACAGAATTACGATCTTTTGCACTTCTGAACAGGTTTCAAGAAGGGGGGGAAATCTGCCATTCTCTCACTGTCTTCCTACCCTATTATCAAATGAAGACAGAAAGAGAGCAAAGTTTAATGGAAATTCTTCATGAATGTGTATTTGATATAAAGTGAGTGTGAAATATGGAACATCTGGTTGCCCTGAAACTGCTTCTGTGGTTGTGGAGTCCAGTTATCCACTCCTTTTGATGCAAGCAATGGCCATTCATTGGTAGTTCACATCAAATAACATTTTCAAAGTTAATTTTGCAAGAATGTGATGGATGAAGAACATGTGCTAAATAAATAAATTAAAAAAAAAAAAAAAAGCACTTTGGGTTTACTTCTAATTCCTTTGTATCAAGATGGCCCAAAGGCTCCAAATCTCACCAACTCCATATGCAAAATGTGGCACGGAACAGATCTGCTAGCATTCAAAGGCACTGGAAGCTGGAAGTCCTTCTCAACACCCAAGACAAGTGCTTCAGAACAGAATGTTGATCATAGAATCATAGAATGGTTTGGGTTGGAAGGGACCTTAAAGATCATCTGCTTCCAACCCCCCTGCCATGGGCAGGGACACCTTCCACTAGACCAGGTTGCTCAAACCCCCATCCAACCTGACCTTGAACACTTCCCATGATGGGCCATCCACAACTTCTCTGGGCAACCTGTTCCA